ATAAAGCCCACTTGGCCATGGTGTATGATTTTTTTAATATGTTGTTGGATTCTGTTTGCTAGAATTTTGTTAAGGATTTTTGCATCTATGTTCATCAGTGATATTGGCCTGTAGTTTTCTTTTTTCGTGGCATCTTTGTCTGGTTTTGGAATTAGGGTGATGGTGGCCTCATAGAATGAGTTTGGAAGTTTACCTTCTTCTGCAATTTTCTGGAAGAGTTTGAGTAAGATAGGTGTTAGCTCTTCTCTAAATTTTTGGTAGAATTCAGCTGTGAAGCCATCTGGTCCTGGGCTTTTGTTTGCTGGAAGATTTCTGATTACAGTTTCGATTTCCTTGCTTGTGATGGGTTTGTTAAGATCTTCTGTTTCTTCCTGGTTCAGTTTTGGAAAGTTATACTTCTCTAAGAACTTGTCCATTTCTTCCAAGTTGTCCATTTTATTGGCATAGAGCTGCTGGTAGTAGTCTCTTATGATCCTTTGTATTCCAGTGTTGTCTGTTGTGATCTCTCCATTTTCGTTTCTAATTTTGTTAATTTGGTTCTTCTCCCTTTGTTTCTTAATGAGTCTTGCTAATGGTTTGTCAATTTTGTTTATTTTTTCAAAAAAACCAGATTTTAGCTTTGTTGATTTTTGCTATGGTCTCTTTAGTTTCTTTTGCATTTATTTCTGCCCTAATTTTTAAGATTTCTTTCCTTCTGTGGTAAGATGATTTTACAGAGTTACATGCTATAATTTGGGTATTGAAAATGTATATTACTTAAAAGCAATTTTTACTTAAAATACATTCTCTACCTAGAGAAAAAATTCTAAAAATGCTTTTTCTCATTTCCCTGTACTGATAGCTTTTCTTTACACTAAGTAATTTTTACATCTATTAAATTTCTTCGGGTGACACATCAGGATATTGACTAACTCTCCAACTCTCTCTTTTACAGGATTTATCTATGGCACTCTACTAAAGTCAATCAGACATGGTCTGAACGGTTTAGCAAACTTTTCTGAATGATCTAGGTTTTCTAGGAACACTGGGAAATTTTGTTCAAATTGTTCAGAATAGTGAATTAATAGTTGCTTATTAATGTTTCTCTAGGGCAAAGACCTATTTGCAGGTTGATTTAAAGTCAGAAAAAGCAGTAAGAATTTCTGACAAGTTTCATCCCCTCACCTGAAGTCACATGTTCAAGAGGGAGGAGTCCCGTCGAGAATCTATACCTTAGTATATATCAGGAAAAGCAGAATTCACAGTGGTACTGCAGGGAAAACATGAGCAAGCTGCAGCCCTGTAAAGCAAATGTCCACAGGATCTATTGTCCACAGTGTGGGCTCCACATTGGTCAAGAAGCAGAACATCAGTGGAACTCTCTGTGGATCACGGTAATGTTAATCTTTAATGTCTCTTGGAAAATAGTGTGCCTGAGTTGGTAAAACAACTTGTGGGAAGTAGAGAGAAAACTTGGACCTACAAAGACTGATTCCTCTGATTTTCTTTCAGGATGTTTAGAATAAATATTATAAATCTCTGTATAGAAATTCTCCTTTTTATCTTTATTATGAAGAAAATATTACTTTATTCTCTACCATAGTAAAGAGGAGGACATGAAGTTATGTCTCAATTTGTGATTTCAGACATTTTCATCCAGAAGAAATAAAAGAGGGAAATGTAGATTAAATTAAAAATAAAGAACTGAAATGTAACATTTTATTCATTAAGACTTTGAAGCTAGGAAAGACAGACAATTTTGTTCCATTTCTAAACCTCATAGATGCATGAAAAATAATTTGAAGATTCCCTATGTTGAGATTTTAATAGGCAGAAGGATTTTTTTTACCTTCCTGAATTAATCTTTGGAGGTTACAGTGATATTGCAACAAGTTAAGAAATTAACTTGTGGCATTGACTTAATTTTTTAATTTTTAGATTTTATTTTCTTATAATTTTAACTGAAGCTCTGTTTTATTCAGAATTTAGGCTCAATTACACACACAGACCTGTCTGTCAAAATAAGTATTAATTAGTTATTCATCCCCTTGCTTAGACATTATATTGCTCTAATGGTGTGTGACAGCTTGCAATACATTTCAGAGTTATTTTTTTCTTTCTATGCAGGTAGGCCAGTGATAGAACCCAGGCTCAAATCATGATTCTTGGAGAGCTATTTCTGAGAAAATTACCAAATGACTCTCTCAAAACAGCTATCTTAACCAGTATACTCAATTACTCTTCTAAATGTGTCCACTTTTGAATTATGGCCACAGTTTTAAGTAATTTCTTCCTAATATTCAAGAAATATATTTGAAATGTATAGCAAACAAAGAAAGCACAACTTTTTCTACTACATCTATACACATAGAGAGAGGTAAATAAGTGTGTTATTTAACTTATTTTTCAATCATGTGTTTTCTTTCAGTCATTTTTAATGGAAGAGTTCTGGATGTTATTTGTTGAGAAGTGATCTTTTTATACTCAGTGATGGGAAAAATGTAGGTGGACTATTGATAATCTTCGACTGTTAAAAGTTTTGACAATTCTGATATTCACTTGCATGTCTAAAGGAACTCTATCTGTATCACACTACTAAATCATGATGAGTTTACTATTCCTTTGATTAGAAACTAATAGTTTCAATTATTTTTCACCAAAATAAATAAATGTTATTTGCAACTATATAGATTAAATAAAAATATTTTCCATTCATCTGCCACCTTCTATCATCCTATTTAGACAATCATAAAATAGCAGCCTAAGTCTTTGTCACTTAAAAAAAAAAAGTACTTACTAACAAAGTGATTGAATCCGCCTGCCAATGCAAGAGAGTTGAGTTCAATCCCTGAGTCAAGAATATCCCCTGGAGTAGAAAATAGCAACCCACTCCAGTATTCTTGCCTGGCAAATTCCATGGACAGAGGAGTCTGGAAGGGTCACTAAGAGTAGGATACGACTGAGCAACTAACACTTTCACTTCACTTTCACTTTCAGTGAAGTGAAATCACTTTCAGTGATTTTTCATCATTATTCATAGTGTGAAAATTTTTATTCAAAAATTATGCATATATAAGGGGATATACATATATATAAACATATACATACTTAGGTGAAATGCATTAGGTATTATAGAGCACAGTGTAGATGGGGGGAGTTGTTAAACATTTACCCACATGGTGCATGATTATAATTTCTTCTTAGAATAACTGTAGTAACTAATGATTATTGAGACATCCTACATTCCAAGCATTGTTCTAAGAACTTTACACTCATTCAGTCTTCACCCCAACTCCAAATGATTTTTGTCCCCATTTTTACAGATGAGAAAACTGAGCCCAGAAGTGTGATGTAACTTGTCTGAGATTGCACAGCTAAATAATTTGCAGAAATATAAACAAAATCTCTCTGCCTATGCTGTCATACTCCACACTACACTGGCCCTCTGTAAATCTCTCTGTGCTTGATATATCAAACAAAAAAAGATTATGAGTTCAGGCAATCCCTCTTTAAACAATGAACATTCAAGAGGTAGTTAGAAGAATGAGCAGAACTTGCAGAATAAATAGGAGTCCAGAAAAGGAGAAGGGTTCCCAGGGCTTTAGACAGGAATGAATCTGACTTGTCAAAGTGAGAGAAGGCTAGTAGTCAATATGTGTAAAGTGATCTGTGAAATGAGAATGAGGCCTTGTGCAGGTTCACCTAGGCCATCTTAAAAAATTAGAATATTTCCTAAATGTAATGGAAAATGACTGGCTAGGTTTGGGCACATGGATAATGTGATTTTACTTAATCTTGTAAAAATGTAAAGGCATAAAACTAGATGTAAGGAATAAAGATTATTGCCAGAATCTAGAATATAGATGACAGTGATTTGGACTAGGGCACTGATCATGTAAGTTTTTAGAGTGAGAGGACAATTAAAATATATTTTTGCATTAAAACTTACAAGTTCTGGTGATGTTAGGTATTGGGGATGAGAGAAATAAACGTGTCAAGGATAAATGCCAGATCTCCTGCATAACGAACCGGAAGACCAAAGGTGCTATTCACCAGGATATGCAAAAAAAGGAATATTCTTCCTCGTTCTAACATTAGCCAAATAATTATATCATATAGGTGAATTCACTGACCAAGTAAAAGAGCATGTTCACTGTACATAGTCAATGAAAATTATAAATAATCATAGGAGCAAATCTATTCCAAACTTTCAAATTTACACATGAGAAAATTCAGACCCTTAATAAAACTCCCTAAGTTTAATATAAAAATATATTAAACTCATCACCATAAAAGAACCTACAACAAATATCAGATTACTTGGCTGTAATTTTTACTAGTAACATAAACTTGCTACCTTTGTTTAGTTCTATATTTCTTTAAATTATTCAGATAGTCTTTTTTCACAAGTTTCTCCTCTTCCTTTCCCTTCTCCATTTCTTCCTCCTCCTCCCATTCATCCTCATCTTCCTTCACCTTCTCCACCTGCTCTTCTCTTGGATTTGACACTGAAGGACCATGGACCAAAGAAATTATACTTCTCTACGTGGCTTCATTCTGCTTGGATTCTCTGACCATCCCAAACTGGAGATGGTCCTGTCAGGAGTTGTCACTGTCTTCTACTTAATTACCTTGGTCGGTAACACTGCCATCATTCTTGCATCTCTCCTGGATTCCCATCTCCACATACCAATGTACTTTTTCCTCCGGAATTTATCTCTCCTAGATCTATGTTTCACAACCAGCATCGTCCCCCAGATGCTGGTTAACTTGTGGGGACATGATAAGACCATCAGCTATGTGGGCTGTGTCATTCAGCTCTATGTTTACATGTGGTTTGGCTCCATTGAGTGCCTTCTCCTCGCTGTTATGTCCTACGATCGTTTTACAGCTATTTGTAAGCCCTTGCGTTATTTGGTCATCATGAACCCACATTTATGCCTCAAGATGGTTATCATAGTCTGGAATATTAGTCTGGCCAATTCTGTGGTATTATGTACACTCACCCTGAATTTGCCTAGATGTGGAAACAACCTTCTGGATCATTTCTTGTGTGAGTTGCCAGCTATGGTCAAGATAGCTTGCATAGACACCACAGCAGTTGAAATGTCTGTTTTCGCTTTAGGCATTGTCATTGTGCTTACACCACTCATCCTTATTCTTATATCCTATGGCTACATTGCCAGAGCTGTGCTGAGAATGAAGTCAAAAGCAGGCCAGAGAAAAGCAGTTAATACCTGTGGATCTCATCTCACCGTAGTGTCCATCTTCTATGGAACTATTATCTACATGTACCTGCAACCAGGTAACAATGCCTCCAAGGACCAGGGTAAGTTCCTCACCCTCTTTTACACTATCATCACTCCAAGTCTCAACCCTCTCATTTATACCTTAAGGAATAAGGACATGAAGGATGCACTGAAGAAGCTGATGAGAGTTGACCACAAACCTACAAAATCAAAGAGAACCTGGAAGTCATAGGAAAAAAATTAGTGTGGATAAGGCAATAAAATATTTTCTAGTTGCCTTTCATTTTTAGTGAGGCAAGTAATCCCTAGATCACAAAGGTCAATTAATATAATAATTTTTGTATACAAACATTTTTTGGATACAAACAATATTACAACCATCCTACTTAGTTCTTTCATGCCTCTATATGCATGCTCAGTCACATCGACTCTTTGCAACCCCACAGACTGCAGTCTGGCAGGCTCCTGTGTCCATGGAATTCTCCAGGCAGGAACACTGAAGTGGGTTGCCTTTTACTATTCCAGGGGATCTTCCCAACCCAAGTATTTCAAACCCTGGCAGGCAGATTTTTTTACCACTGAGCCATTTAAAAAGCCCTTTATGCCTCTAATCTTTGGCATATCTTCAAGAAAAACAAGTCATAGAAATTTTATTTTTGCTTATAATATAACACAGAGGGAATGTAAACATAAACTTGAATGCATTTAATTTATTGGGGTCACAAAGAGTTGGACATGACTGAGACGACAGCTGAACTGAACTGAAGCCCCATTAAAAACTGTTCTGGTTATCTAGCTATGTATTTTCAATGCTAATGCTTAGATCTTCAGAAATACAGACCTGAATGAATAGCTTCATATATGTTATGAGTTGTATATAAAATAATAATATGCTAATGGTTTTCTGCATTAAATCTCTTATGATACCATTCAAACATATATACTTCTTTTGTGCAGACAATGCAATCTACAAGGTAGTAATTTGTCATAAGCACCACTTGAAACAATTCACTTTTCTTCAATGAAATTTGATCATCAACAGCATGAATAAAAGATCTCTGTTTTTTAAGTCTGTTACATCTTTATAATGATAAGAGGAAGTGAGAAGACACCAAAAAATTATTTTAAAGATGACAACACAGTCATATTCACTTCTTATTCATTTATAAAACATTTTGTTCATGATTATCCATCTCAATGGAAAGAAGAGTATGGCTAGTTTGAGATTAGTTAGGCTTTTGGGGAGATCTGTGGACAGTAGAATTTATGTGATTTTGTTAGAAATATAGATTTGTAAATTTGTATGTAGTAGGGTTTCATACAATGAATAAATATCTTCACTTATCTTGATATAGCTTTTTAGTTTTATATATATTATGAAACTTATTATGGAACTATTGTGATACTTTTGAATTAAACTTTGATATTTTCTATGCAATACCTTTCTCTAACAGACTCCATAATTTAAAATTTTAATCAATCAAAATACATAGTATTTCCTCCTCTATCACTTCATAATTCTTGAACTGTAGAAAGAAAGGAGTCACTAGATAATTTTACTTTCCCAGGCAGAACAATGTGATGACTCACATAAAATATATTTAATATGATATAGGATATTGTCAGTGTTCTTATTGTCCATCTACTACATGTTTTATAGTTACCTTCAAAAACAGTTCACTAGCCTATAAAAAAGTTCACCAGTACACAAATGTAAACTATGTGATCCTGATTTATATAGTCTGGCCACCCTACCCATTACATTTAACAAGAGGAAAAAAAGTAAACCAAAAGAGCAGGCAGAAACATAAGGGGAAAATAAACAATAGAGATACAGAGCAAGCAGAAAATAAAAAATAAAACAGCAGTACTGAATCCTCATTTATCAATAATCACCCCTAAATATAAATGGATTGAATTCACCAATCAAAAGACACAGAGCATCTGGAGGGAGTACAAAATAGGCCCTAACTATATGATGCCTCCAGGAGATTCACCTCAGCCCTAAAGACAAATATAGACTCAAAGTGAAAGGATGAAGGATGACACTGTAAGCAAATGGCAGCCAAAAGAAAGCAATGTAGCCATAAATATGACATCAGATAAAATAGACTTGAAGCAAAAAAAAAAAAAAAAAAGAGAGAGAGAGAGACAGAGATCAACATTATAGAATGATAAAGGGGACGATTTACAAGAAGACATGATAGTTACTTATATATATGAACCTAACATGGCAACACCAAAATACAAAAAGCAATTATTAACAGACTTAAAGGGAGAAATTGATAGGACTACAATAATAGTAGGGAACATTAACATCCCACTTAAGCCATGGGTAGATCATCCAGATGAAAGAAAATAGGGAAAGGGCAGCCTTAAATGAAATGTTAGACCTGTTGATTCAATAGATTTATACAGAACATTTAATCCAAATTCAGAATAATACACATTCTTTTCAGGTGTACATGGAAAATGCTTAAGAATAGACCATATGCTGTGACACAAGTCTCAATAAATTAAGAAGACTGAAATCATATCAAGCATCTTTTGTGATCATAATGGTATGAAACTGGAAACTACTACAATAAGAAAGCTGAAAATATCACACAAATATGTGGAGACTGAAAAACATGCTACTGAACAACTACCTGATCAATAAAAAAATCAAAGAAGAAAGCAAAAAATATCTGAAGACACACAAAAATGAAAATATGACATGTCAAAATCACTGGGAAACAGCAAAAGTAGTTTGAGAGGGAAGTTTATGGCAATATAGGCCTACCTCAAGAAATAATAAAAATCTCAAATAAAAAAGATAATCTCTTCAATAAATGGTGCTGGCACTCAGCCATAAAAAAGAATGAAATGATGCCATTTGCAACAACATGGATAAACCTAGAGATTACCATAATAAGCAAAATCAGACAGAAAAAGACGAACTCCATAAAATAGTACTTATATGTGGAAGCTAAAACAAGATACAGATGAACTTATTTACAAAACAGAAACAGACTCACAGACAAAGAAAACAAACTTTGGCTACCAAAGGGGAAAGGGAATGGGAGAGGGATAAACTACAAGTTTGGAATTAGCAGAAAGAAACTAGTATGTATAAAACAGATAAACAACAAGGTCCTACTGTACAGCACAGAGAACTATTTTCAATATTCTGTAATAAAACATAATGGAAAAGAATATGTGTGTGTGTGTATATATATATATTCTGAATTGCTTTGCTGTATAACAGAAACTAACACAACATTGTAAATCAACTATACTTCAATAAATAAATGAATAAATATTTTTTTAATTTAAAAAATAAATGTTGTTGGGAAAACTGCACATCAACATGCAAAGAAAGAAACTAGACCACTATCTTACACCATATAAAAAAATCAACTCAAAATGACTTAAAGAGTCAACGTAACACCAGAAATCATAAAACTACTAGAAGAAAGCATAGGCAGTATGTTCTGTAACATTGGTCTTAGCAATATTTTTCTGGATATGTGACCTCAGGGAAGGAAAACAAAAGTGAAAGCAAAGATGGGACTACATCAAACCAAAAAGATTCTTCACAGCAAAGGAAATCAACTAAAGTAAAAGACAACCTGGCAAATGGAAGAAGATTTTTGCAAATCATATACATATTTGCAAAATATATAAAGAACTCATACAACTCAACAACAATAAAAAAAACCTGATTAAAAAATTGTCAGAGTACCAGGGCAAGTTTGATCCATGAAGCAGGTCACTCAAAGCTGGTGCTCTGGGACAAGACAGAGGGATGGGGGAGGGAGATGGGAGGGGGATTCAGGATGGAGGGACACATGTACACTCATGGCTGATCCATGTCGATGTTTGGAAAAAACCACCTCAATATTGTAAAGTAATTAGCCTCCAATTAAAATAAATAAAAAAATTTTTTAAAGGTCAGAGTATCTGAATAGACATTTTTCCAAAGAAGACAAACAAATGGCCAATAGGTACAAGAAAAGATGTTTAACATCACTAGTTATCAGAGAAATGCAAATAAAAATCACAATGAGATATCATCTCATAGCCATTAGTGTGCATATTATCAAAAAGGCCGTAAGTAACATGTATTGGAGAGGATGTGGAGAAAAGGAAACCCCCAAATATTGTCGGTGAGAGTATAAATTGGTGCAGCCACTATGGAAAATAGTATGGAGCTTCCTTTTAAAATTAAGAATAGAAATACCATATGATTCAGCTATTCAACTTCTGAATATTTATCTGAGAATATTAAAATAGTAATTTGAGAAGATACATGCACCCCTCTGTTCATCACAGCATTATTTACAATAGTCAAGATATACAAACAAGGGATGAATAGATAAAGAAAATGTATAAATATATGACTGAATACTACTTAGCCATAAAAAAGATGAAATCTTGCCACTTTCAACAATATGAATGGAACTTAAAGGTGTAATGCTAAGTAAAATAAGTCAAATGTTGAAAAACCTATACTGTAAGATTTCACACATATGTGGAAGAAAAAAATGAATAAATAAATAAAAATAAATGAAGAAACCAAACCAAACAAAAATAGACACATAGATACAGAGAATAGAGTGGTGGTTACCAGAAGGGAAAGGTAAAATGGGTAAAGGGGTATCAGCTGTATGATGAATAGAAACTACACTTTTGTAGTGTATATAAAAGTCAAAATGTAATATTGTACACATGAAACTTAATGTTATAAACCAATGTTACCTCAAAAAATAAAAATTTTTAAATAAAACAAAAATATTAATTAATCAGTTCACTTAATATGATAATATTGTGGGTTTCTCTTAACATACCACAAGACAGCCATATGACGATAATTTTTAAAACTAGATGATGGATCCATGGGGTCATAGTATTTTTCACTCCATTTTTGTACATATTAGAAAGTATCTATAATAAAAGGTCTTTAAAAGTCTTAAAAATCTTTTTTGAATATATTAACAAGCTCTTCAACAGTTGGAAATTTCTTCTTGAAGCCATATTTCCATTGCTCTTCTCATTCAGAATTTTACAGTAATGTATTATATTTGTTCCTTTGCAAGTCCTTTGACTATTATTCTTCTCAGCAACAAATGCATAAATTAATTGAAATTATTTTTTAAATTTCCTGTGATCATCTTTCAGTATTCAAATTTTTCTTCTGTATTAACT